ACTCTAATTGCTGATTTACTGCCTGGGAAGAGAATCTGTCTGATCGACTTCTGAGCCAAATTGAATATTCGAGAAACCCTAGGATTGTATCTTGTATGAAAAATGGGAGGGCAAATTTTAGGGTACAACAACCGCCCCTGTTCAATCTTCTTAAACTTGAAAAGTAAGATCGACATGTTCGTCGTTCGTATCTTGAAAGTGGAAGATGATTGGACACTAGAGTGCCCAGAAATTTGCACTTGATGATGCGCTGGTTGATTGTGTAGGGAATGGGCTTAAAGATGTCATTTGGAGAAATGATGGAGAGTTGTCGGAGATGGGCTTATAGATGTCATCCAAAGGTGATTGTTGACAGAAATGAACTAAGTCTGAAGTTGACTTTAACCGGAAAAGAAAATCAGAATAAACCTTTGGTTGATTTAAACTGAAACTAGCTGAAGTATTGAATGTTGTTTGACTGGAAAGAATCATATGCTAAACCCACATGAGACATGTGTTATCATTGTAATGGAAAATGTTAGAGATCAAATGTTTGTCTAACAAGGAGAGTCGTTGTTGTTGTGGAATAAAGGGAAGAGGAAGAGGAAAGAGAAGGACATGCAGTTGAGAACGAAGAATATGCAGTGTTTTCAGAGGAAGAATCTGATGAGGGTAAATTTTGTGTTGCCTAAAATTTAACTAGCATCCAAATATGAAGGGCAACACAATAATTTGTTTAAAACACATTGTTCTATTAAGAATAATGTATGTAATCTGACTGTGGTTAATGGTAGCACGAAGAACTTGGTGTCGCAAAAATTGGTAGATTATTTGAAATTGTCCATATAACCCCGTGAACAGAACAAATAACTCAAGAATTTGTCTGATTAATGATAAATAATACAAAATCATTGAATCGGTTACTGATTCAAAATTTTAACAAATTGAAATCCTCTTTATTACTATGCTACTAAAAATATAACTAAAATTAAATAAGAGTAATGCAAAATATATAATCAAATGAGATGCAATCACAGTACAAAACTTCATATTTTTCTTGTCCTCATGGATTAAAGTCATTTCAAAGAGATTTATTTAATTTAAAAGCATTCATTAGAATTTCCTACTCAACTTGCTTTTATGATCAACACTACTGCCAAGAATTTATGATATCATGTCTAGGGATGTCAATTTGCATCTATTAACGGGGATCCCTGTGGGGATTATCTGTTCGGAGCACCAAAGTTGAGGAATTTTTTCCCCGCGGGAACGGGGATGTAGGGAAAAGTTCTCTCAATGACACTCTAGAGCGGGGATTGGAAAAGTACCCTCTGTCCTGTGGATTCCCTGACTTAGACTATATTATTTAACTTTTATATTTTATATATTATATAATATATAATTATATAATTTTACATAAAAAATATATTAATGTATTAAAAAATGAAGAGTCATTAGTGGGTCATTTTATTTTTATGTTTTATTGTATAATATATTATTTCACTATCCAAGTAGCCAACCCTAGGAAAATGCATCCAATACATAGAATGTTCACACTGTCTCCTTCTTTTCTTTTCTCAATTATCTTTGTATCCTCCATTCATCATCCCCTCTATTCTCATCATCATCACAACAAGCACTCTTCTTTATTCATTATGTTTATGGTAATTACTCTTCAATTTCACTTTACTTCCATTAGTAACATGTTTTTCATTTAATTAATAAATTAGTAGTTATGGATTTACTATACTCACACATAATCAACCAATTGCACTGGATAACAACAATATTGTGGTAGTAAATTAGAGGAAGCATGATAGCAACAAGCTCTATTAATATTTATTTATTTTTATAGAAAAATATTAGCAATAACAAGTGTTGTTTCTTTTTTTCTTATTGAAGAAAGATGTATTTTTATTTCTAAAAAAAGAAAGATGCAAAATATATGAGTCTTTTTTTTTTTAAAAAGGAAAAAATAACGAAATACTAGTGTCATAGTTTTGATCGAAAAGTATATAAATTTTCTTACAATTCTATCTTTGTAGATCTCTATGGAGATATGTGGGAATGAGGATGGGAGAAAATATTCCCCTGTGGCGGCGATTGGGAATGGGAATGGAGAATAATATTGGGGGCAGAACGGGGAACGGAAAAGCATCCTCCAAACATTACCTGCCTCGTTGACACCCCTAATCATGTCCTTGGTTATTTTTATTTACCAATAATCAATAATAATTTTCTTTCGTCGTCTTTACACTTTTCTTAAGTTCTACTAAACTTTCTCTAGACATAGTCTCACCAAATTTTTGCTATTGTTTATCGGATTTATAAAATCACTCATTCCTAAAATTATGAATTTATCAAATATAGGCTCGTAATTTTTTTTTTACAATAACCACAATGAATTCAATTTATAAACATTTAGATGTCTTATAGATTGTAACAGGGCTTAAGTAAAGTAAGTTATTTTAACAAATTGTTAATTGGTTCAGTGGTTATTGACGTTGGACTTGGTAGGGAGGACTATGGTTCGATCCCCCACAACTATGATCGGGAGGGGGCTAGAACCATTTGATGCCAGAATTGACCCCCGAACAAGACTATATCGGGGTGAAAAGCAAAAAAAAAGTGAGTTATTTTGGATAATGGATTTTATTACTTAGACTTCGGAAAAAAAATTTAGAACCCATGATTTTGTTTTAATTTACTTAGTGGGATCTCTAATTATTACCAATGTTTAAAGACTTTTGCATTTTTTCATTCTGGTCACACGAGTTTCCATTATTATTTTTAGTATTTGGAATATTATATTTCTGATGGTTACTTTTTTTCAACAAATATTTTAAGATCTCTAAAATGTTATGTTTGTAAAAGGCCGACAAGGGATAACATGGTGATGTAACACTTCTCCCATAATATTTTCCTAATTGTAGGTTTCATATATCGACTACCCATTCATTAGATGTGACGTCCCTTCTTCGAATACTTCGGCCATTTCTAGAATCACATCTTTGACGCGGGAAACGTGGGAAGTTATGTGTCCCTAGTCCACAATGGTGTGAAATAATCCAGATGGAAATTAACCATGATCTCTTAACTCTCTTGAATAATAGGGAACTATTCGCTCCAACATTCTTTGAAAACTGGTTGCTACTTAACAGATGCATGAGATTCATACCAAAAAAATCCGATAAATACCTCAATCCAAAGGTTACTAAGAACAATGTCATATACATAATAATACTAGAATGCTTATAATCTCCCTACATAAGCTATCTCTAAACCCTACTATAAGTCATAAGACCTCTAACAACCCTTAATCATTAGATTTGTTGCATAATGTAGTTTTTTCAAGTACAATCGGTGCCCACCGTGGGACCTCAGTGAAACAGATCTATACCACCATTCATATGGATTGATGTCCTTATGTTCATCCTCTTCATCCATCATGGTGAACAAAATGAAAACAACTCCAGCCAATAGGAATCTGACAGCGAGGAAAACCCCTTGGAAGAGATGCACATTGTCATGGAGGACCTTCATCGCCAAAAGCAAAATTTGGAGGACCACATCCTTTATATCTAGCCCCAACAGGAGGTTAGCCCTACATATGAGGTGGAGAAATTGGACCCATAGCCTCACTCATATTAGATATGGGAGGCGTTTGTTCTAGAGAATTTTAAGTCGCTTTCTTTGTCTAAATTTGATGGGTAGAGCAACCCATATGAACATGTCGCCGCCATCAACACACAGATGGAAAACATTTGAGCTCCTAACTTCTTGAAATGAAAGCTCCTATATTTAATATTTATAAATGTGACCTTTGGGTGGTATGTGGGCATGCCTAAATTCTAAATTATGAGCTACTAGGACTTTTTAAAGAAACTAGTCTGCCAGTTTACAGCTGGCAGGCCCTAAAAGATGGCAGCCACAATCCTCTTCAACATACCTTAAGGGCCCTCCAAATCCCAGAGGAAATACCTCGCCCGCTTCAATGAGGTCACCATCAATGTTTTACACCCAAATAAAAATGTTTGTTGTAGAATTTTAAAATGGTTTTAAGATGAGGTAGTGACGTAGGTGGAATGTTATATAAAGGACAAGGAAAGTAATGTTGAAAAGAAGGCAAAATATGTGTAACAACATACCCCTAATATCGAGAACTCACATTAGTTACAAAGGAATCATTACACTTCGCACATCAAGGACGGGATGAAACTGAATCAAAGTGTAAAATCCACAGAGAACTTCACGCCCATAAACAGTATTCATGAGTAGATATGGAAAAATTATGCCATATGCACAACATCCCACAATGGACAACTCTAAAGTCATACTCATGGGGCCTGAGCCTATAAGTTGATGCAAGTTCCATAAATATATAATCAAGTTTAATCATTGAATTTTATTTTGTAAAGTTTCTTGTTCTTATTTCGTACGAAATCAATATTGAAAACTCCCCCTTTGTTATTTACTATAATCTACACTATCATTACCTTGTTGAAATTCGCAACCTTTATGGAGACGAATTTAATTTATTACTTCGACAAGACTAGTACACTTTATATAATTGTCATCAACCCTTTTTGGGAGCCTCCCTCTCCTAGAAGCATCCTCTTAAGCGGTCGACTGCAAGTTAAATTTCTGCACCGCCTTATCATCCTTGGCTCATCTGGGGCGTCTTTAGCTGAAGAAAGTTATTCACTTATCAGGGGAAAGACCTCATCATCATCCACTAGTTGGCTATTGGGGATAACTTTAAATATGTCCATTGAACTTAGGTCCAACCTATTATGAAATAAGAGCATCTGCTCAAAATTGATATTGGCGGTCAGCATTAAATTGTCCTTGAGCATAAATGCATCCTCCTTTGGATTCCTGTGAGAGATGATGGCATGGTCTATAGGTACTTGCATTTTTTGTTATGAGGCGGAAAACTCCTAGTTCTTGGTCTCCACTTACTGGTCTCCCTCCCCTTTTTTTAAGGCATATATTATTGTTTGACCATGGGCAATATCTCTTTAGTAGCATATAAGCTTCATGCTCAGCTCCTTCTCAGTTTGAGTGTGCTTCTCTCTGTCAACACATCCATCAACAGAACCCTCAGTAGGTGGTTCTTCATGTGTTTGGGCAGCTTGAGGGACGCACGACTGTTGATGAACTTGTAGTCGCCTGGGATTTCCTCTGGAAAGTGAAGGCGAGCACCAGTAAACTTTCTATGCAAAATGTGGAATAGAAAATATGAGCCATATCATCATAAAAAAGAATCCCAAACGAGGACCGTTATTACATTTAACTTACTTAGATAGTTATCTATGTATTTATATTTTCCTTGGTCCTAGGCCGTCATTATACAAGAATCCATGACCTTAAAATTGTCCAAAATTTAAATCACCTCCACCTCATCAGTTGTGATATATTATGATCAAAATTTCATTATTTGTCCAAGCTAGAGGAAAGTGAGGGGTTCCATCCTCCCCACTAGTGACTTTTAAGGAGGAATCTCTCCCTCTCACTCTCGGAAACATGTAATTCAATTCTTGTAGTAATTGGAGTATAATTTGAATAAATCTCTCCCCTAACAAGACGTATATGGTCGCCTAGCCCCGGAAAATGAAAGCCTTGATGCTATGGAAAGAGAAGAACATACATATCATAGGATGAACTCACAATTATTGACATATGATTCCAAATTCCTGAATCATACCCCATCCATTTGGCAGGATCTGGGAGAGGTTAGAACTGATAACCTTTAAAATCCCCACCTAGAATAAGGAAAAGGGAATGAGAGATCATATGTCGCAAACGATTGGGAGGTAAAAGTTGAAGTAGGGACTGGAATTGGAAGAGTCGCTTGAGACAACAATGTTTTCCCTTTTCTCGGTAGAGCATTTCTCCAAGGTGACTTATTTTTTGTCTTCTGAAGAAGATAGGTTGACATGATTTCAAAAAGAGGTTATCTTTTCTGCAGTGTCAGAGGTGGCCAATATGTTCTTGTTTCTTGATAAAACAAAAGGGAAATATGAGTCATACCACCATTATTAACGTTGCTATGAAGCTAATGGAACTCTCATAACTATCAAACTTGCCTAGTTCTCCAAATTTATAGGCAATCGTCCCATTGAGATGTTTGAAGTTTCAATAATAGTGATTCTACAATGTTATACGCTCATTGTGAGTTAAGGGCTCTATCGGGTTTCCATTCTTGTCAAAATCCCTAATTATCACATTAAGGAAAAAGGAAGAAGAAAGAGGGTTGGACCCGTAGCTATAAAAGATTATTTGAGAAGGTTGAAAAATTGGTGAAGTATACCAACAAGGATTTCAAAAATATACAATGCAAAGTGCATAAAAATGAAAGCGTTATGGTTGAATCCATTTAAAAGAGGTTTGAGGCTTATGGATAATCAAAGGTCTCCTAGGTTTCTTATTAGACACCAAAGGGTTATGCACGCCTCTAGAACATGTGGGAGAACAAATACAACATTTCATCCCAAGAATAAATCATCATTGAAGGCAATCAATACCTTACATGTTTTTCCATCAACTTATGTTAGGGGATTTCCCTCAGTTGATGAATGATTCACATCATCGACACTTTAAGACATATCCTATACATGATAGACTCACCCTACACATGATGGAATCACCCTACACAGAGGGACTCACCATATATTTGAGGGACTCGCCCTAGATGTACCATAAGGACTCATTTAAATAAGGAATGAAAAGAGAAATGAAATCATTTCCCCCTTTTGAAGCCCTCAGGCTTCAGGGACTGTGTATTGATATATTTGTAAAGGGCTCGTAGGGGGAAATGTGGTGATGTAACACGTCACCTAAGACGCCTTTCTCATCTCCCGTTTCATAGATCGATTACCCCATTTATTAGAGGTGATAGTTTTTCCTCGAACATGTCGCCCACTTCAAGATCACTCGCCCGACGCGGGAAACATGCAAAGTCACGAGTCTCTAATCCACAACATTGTGGATGAAGAGAGAAATTAACCACGCTCTCTTGAATAATAGCCGATTAACTTTGTACTCCCACGTTCTTTTAGAATTGGTTGCTACTTCCTAGACGTCTGGGATCCAGGCCCAAAAGCTCCTGAAAATACCTCAACCCAAAGATTAAGAAGAACAAACTCATATTCTATCACATATTAGATACACAAAGCTTGAAAGCAAATATTAAGAAGAACAATCTCATATTCTATCACATATTAGATACACAAAGCTTGAAACCAAAGATTAAGAAGAACAATCTCATATTCTATCACATATTAGATACACAAAGCTCGAAATCTCTAATAACTCTTAACCACTAGAAGTTATCATATATTGTACTATTAACAATTACAATCTCTATATATATGATGTGCATAGCACTACTTCAATGTTATAAGATTTATATCTCATGAGACATCTTTATATAAAAAAGGTGTTATAAGACTTCTAGTTAAGATTAGAGATTTTTATTATCTGAGTGCTCTTTGAGTATTTTTGTAATAATATGTTTTATGTTAGCTTAAATTAATACCTTTTTCTTTAAAATAGAAAACAAAATAGATGAAAAAACAAATATTAGTCTAGCCGTGCCTGTTTTTCATCATGTACGCTAAAATTAAAAGTATATTCAATTCCATGTAGCCAAGGTACTCCTTCATTCACAAGAAAAGAGACTATTTACCTCAGCCCATAGGTACCATTATTCCCTTAGTTAACCAAGTCAATAAGAAATTTTCTTCAAAATCAATATACGCATTTAGATATTCTATTATATTCCAAATAGACTCCCCTTATGACGACGGTTGATTGAATGGTTAAATGTGATTCAAATAAAGTTATATGAATTTTTAATTAAAATTTTAGTCTTGTATAATATTATAAAATAGATTCAATTTTAAAATTTTATAAATAAAAATACGTTTAGTCCTTAAAATAGTCCTCATATAAAACGCAAATAAAGATTGAAACTGAACAGTTTTTGACACACTATTACAGTGTCTTAGTAGCCAACTGTATTTTTTTTCTATATAAAATGACATAGGGCCTAAGACCAGCAACATACCAATTGTATTACACTGGTCAAAACTTTGGCCTTCATTAAAATTGTGGGAATTGTTTAGGTTACCCATAGATAAGAAAATGCATGTATTATATCCTCTATAAATTCATGCTCTTCAATTACTTTAACTTCCATCCATAACAAACCACTTACTTAAAGCATACAAAACAATGAAAAACACATTGCTAGCATTTATCCTTCTCTTTACCTTCTTGAGTTCACAACCACTTCTTGGAGCAGCTGATGCTTCAAATGATCAAGTGGTTGACACATTCGGCAAGAAACTCCGAGCTGATGCTAATTACTATATTCTTCCGGTTTCACCCATTTACAAATGTGGACCTTATGATAAATGTAGAAGCAGTGGTTCAAGTCTTGGCCTAGCAAACATAGGAAAAAGTTGTCCATTTGATGTAGTGATTGTTGATAAATATCAAGGCTTGCCACTTACTTTTACACCTGTTAATCCAAAGAAAGGTGTTATTCGAGTCTCTACGGATTTAAACATCAAATTTGCATCCCGTCCTACTTGTCTACACCATTCCATGGTTTGGACGCTTGATAGTTTCAATGTTTCTAAGAGACAGTGGTTTGTAATTACTGGTGGTGTTGTTGGAAATCCTGGTTGGGAAACTATAAATAATTGGTTCAAAATTGAGAAGTATGGTGATGCTTATAAGTTGGTGTTTTGTCCTAGTGTGGTGCAATCTTCCAAGCATCTGTGTAAGAACGTTGGAGTTTTTGTGGATGAAAACGGGAATAAGCGTCTAGCTTTAAGTGATGTTCCTCTTAAAGTTAAATTTCAACAAGCTTGATCATAGCTTCTCTAATACTATGTCTAAAAACAAATGAATACATGTATTTCCTTTTCAATAAATTTCAATGGGATCCTCAAAGTTAGGGTTCCTTGTTACAAATAAAATAAAAATATATTATATATTACCTCCGCTGTTTCAAAATAAGTGGGCATATTTAGAAGAAAAAAAATTCTCCTAAAATACTTATCACTTTAGATTACCAATAGAATTTTATATTTAATTTTTTAATTGTATCCTCTAATAAATACTCTTAATTTATTATTTTGTCACTTAACATTAATGTTAATTTGAATACACCAATAGTTAATCATGATAATTTGATAAAGTCACTATTATCTCTTTTATTTATTATTATTTATTAAACTATGTGAAATGATCAACTGCGATAAATAATATAAGACGGAGAGAGTAATATTTATCAATTTATTGTTCCTTTTTAAATAATATTATTCACTAATGTTTCAAATTAAGCGCTCAACAATTGCAAGATAATCACAAAGAAAGATGTGATCGTCTATAATATAGAATAGGGATGTGCATGTTTGTTAATTTTTTAAAATCAAATCATACCTATGTAATTACCTTGTCGATTTTAATTTGTTTTGATGTTCTGCCGCATTTTATTTATCGTTTTTAAGTCCTTCTAAACTTCCTCTCATTCTCTCATAGGTTGGGCATCATTTTCTATGCTTTTAAATGAACAATTAACCAAAGTCGATGCAAGATAATTTGAATAAAAAGTTCTTGATTTCAAATAAAAAAGTCATGTATATATATTCGCTCGTGCAAATCCTTGACTCGATTTATAAGCAAGTTTTAAAAACTTATTTTGGCACTGGAGTCACGACTCCAATTACATGTTCCCTTAACTTGAATATTAAGATGCTCTGACTCGAATCATGTCTTGACCTGAGTCAAACCATGGACAAATTTTGCAATTGTGATTTGCTCAAGGGAAGTGTTACTCAAATCACACTTTGGTTTGGGTCAAGTCACGTAACTCGATTCAAGTGAGGGCTAAAATCTAGGTTTTTTTTTAATATTGACTCAAATCATTCTCTCACTAAATTCAAATCATCATATTTGTATTTAACTCGAATCAAAGTGTTATTTTCTCTATTTTAATTCTTTATCTCTAGCACATATTAAAACAAAATTAATGTGGAAGATATATTATGAGTTGAGAGAGAGAGAGAGAGAGCATTCACAAAGGTTTTAGTTGTTTCTCTTATCACGAATGAACCAAACATCTGGAATGATTTGTGGATACAGAGGAGTTTTCAGATTTGGAGAGATTGGCGGACATTTAGCGATCATCAAACAGGGAGCGGTGGATAAACATAAATTAGTAATGACAAGAGAGTATGAAAATTCAGTTGATTAATTTTTTTCTTTTTTATTATGTAATAATTAATAATTGTATTTTTTTATTTTGAAATATTTATTTATTTTTAATAGAAAAACATATCAAAATATATATAATCAAGAAAAGAGGATAAGTACAAGAAACAAACAAGGGGAGTCAGTGATTCTCTAAAGTAGAAAAAATTGTCTAAACAAATGCCAAAGACAGTTAAACCAGCGAGAAAACCTAACACACAAAACAAATCTACTTATGGACTACATCAGGTCACCACCAGAAAGAGACAACTGAATGAGGGTAAACTCGACCACCTGCAAAAACCAATGAAGGGAAATTGGTTACCAACACACGCCTAAAAGTGAAGGCACAATAGTGGGTCATGCTGCCCGTCAAGTCAAAAGAAGGAAAAATCTAAAGCATGAGAACAAATTCACTTCCAAGTTAGGCTAATAATGGATTTTACCTAATGATTAGCCAAGAGACTTTTGTAACAAAAAATGATTATTTTGCACACATTTTCCAGATAATCCACACCACTTAATGTTAGATCGAAAGCATACCTGGAACTAAAAATAAACCCTACAATCGAGCATGTCATAGGTAAAGGAAAACCCAACTAAGAACCTTATACTAGGTTAAACTGGTAACCTCACACCTAAAAGAAACTCCTTATTGGGTTTGCACACATCCTC